AGTAACCTCCTAAATTGTCTCTCTACTTCTTGACTCTCCAGTCACTTCTCCCAAAGATGCCAAAGTGATATCACTAAAGCACAAAACTAACATTCTTTCACTCAAAAGACTCTAATAGCTCTGAATGGCTTCTAAGATCTAAACCTTTCTATATTTCATTTAAAACCCTTCACAATTTAACTCAAACTTACCTTTTCAGACTCGTTCCATGTCTCTTCCCTTCACACAATGGATCAGTCAGATGGTGCAGTGAATAGAGCATGGGCCTGGAGTCAGGAAGGCCTGAGTTCAAATCCAGCCTCAGATATTAACTAGCTGCTTGACCCTGGGCAAATCACTTAGCTTCAGTTTCCTCAACTATAAAATGTGGGTAATAATAGTACTTACCTGTCAGGGGATCAAATGAGATAAAATGCCTAGTGTAGTGTCTGGCACATAGTAAGTGCTTAGTAAAATGTTTCTTTCCTTTAATCAAAGAAAAAAGGAAAGGACCTATCTGTACAAAAATATTGATAGCAGCTTTTTTGTTGTGGTGGCAAAAAATTGGAAATTGAGGGGATGCCCATGAATTGGGGAATGACTAAACAAGTTGTGACACATGATTGTGATGGAATACTCTTGTGCTCTAAGTAATGGTGAGGGGGATGGTTTCAGAAAAACATGGGAAGACTTTATATAAACTGATAGAAAGTGGAATGAGCAGAACCAGAACAGTGTGCACAATAATAGCAATACTGTTATGATGATCAACTGTGAAAGACTTAGCTACTCTGATCAAGACAACAATCCATGATAGTGCCAAAGAACTCACCATGAAAAATACTATTCACCACTAATGAATTCTGAATGCATATTGAAGCATACTTTTTTCACTTTCTTCATTTTTCTTGCCTTTTTTTTGCAACATGGCTAATATGGAAATGTTTTTCATGACTTTACATGTATAATTGATTTATTGCTTGCCTTCTTAATGGGTGGGGGAGGGAAGGTAGAGAATTTGGAACTCAAATTTTAAAAAAATGAATATCATAATAAAGTATATATGTATATATGTATGTATACATATGCCAGGTGCTTTGGGAAAATAAAGAGACTGATTAGACAGTCTTCCCCGGGAAGCAACTACTGTGGAGATACCTCCTGGCCACTGCTTCTGCAAGTGTTATGAACATAATTACTTGAAGACTAGGCAAAAAAAGTTATTGCCACCAAAGTTCTCAGTACTGTCAAATGGTTCTCCATCAAAACTGATATGATTTTATCATTGTAGATGTTATTAAAGAAGAGGCATTGCCATCTGTTTTCTTATCTTCAGCCTCAGGAACGTGGGACCTTTCTTTGTAATTTACAACTGAAACCTTCCAAATATATTGTCTCCCCTATTAGAGAATGAGCCCCAGAAGAGCAAAGAGAGTCATATTTTTCTATTTGTATCACCTTTGTTTTGGACATAGTAAGCACTTAATAAATACTGTCATTCATTCATTTGTTCCCCTGAAGAAGCTTATACCACAAGAGAGAAAAAGATAAGCACATAAAAAAATTAGAAGACAAGGCAGTATGAGATAATTCCTAGTAGAGGCCTAGGAATGAACTTCTTTCTTACTTCCTTAGAGACTCAACTGGTGACTCACCTAAGATCCTCCTACTACATGAAGCCTTCCTTGATCCTACCAACTTCCAATTGCTAGTGCCTTGGCTTCCAAAACTATCATGCATTTAACTTATATATATTTGGATATGTACATATTGTTTTCCCTCGATAAGTTTTAAGTTCCTTGAGGGCAGGAACTCTTCCATTTTTGGACTTGTATCCCGAGTGTCAGAGTTTGGGGGTTATGGGCTTTTCAGCAAGCAAAGAGACCCTCTAGGAGTTTACTTTTAATGGGTAAGGGAGAGAAAGGTTGAGGCAACATATTGAGTACACTGTAGTGTGAAACTTAAATTAGAAACAGAGACACTAATCTATACAAGGATCCCTGCAGGCCACACATGAATTTAGTTTTAAAATGTAATACTATCTATGTTTTATTGTATTTTTATTTATTTTGTTAAGTATTTTCCAATTACATTTTAATCTGTTTTAGAGACAGTGGAGATCCTGGCATATGTTCAACATTTCTGGTGTACACAGATAGGTAAATTTAGATTATATTCAATATTAAGTGATTTGGGGGAGGAGGATCCTAACATATTAGAGAATCAGAAAAAGCTTCTTGTAGGAGATAGCATCTTAACTGAATCTTGATCTCTGAAGAACTAGGAAGCTGAGCCAAGCAAGAATAAGATGAAAAGCAAAGGTAACACCTCTCCTCATTCGTCATTACCTCCCTTTTCCTCTAAAAGGGCTAGTTGGGGTCATAGATGTAACCATATGCTCCTCCAGTTCCTTTCTGGTTACTGTGTCACGGAAACAAATTCAAATCCATCTAGGCCCCCCTCCCCCAGTCTGAGATTAAATCTTGAGGTGAACTTGATACTTAGAGACTTACTATAATTCAACTTAATAGGCATTTATTAAGTGCCAACTAGGTAAAAATCATTCTGCTCCTTAAAGAACATTGCTTATAAACATAACTTTTGTTAACTTGTAAACAGTCATGTTTTTAGCATGTATATTTTCCATCATGTTTTTTATGGCAAGCACATTTTTCAGTCCTTGGGAACCCTAAAGGCCAATCAGTTTACATGAAGAAGGTCCTCAAATGCCACAAGTTTTTATATATATACAAGTTTTTTATATATATATTTTCCCTATAGCATGGAATACCATGAATATATGGATATATTTTAAATGATCATTGATGGTCTGTAGCCATATGTCATAGATATTCTGGGACACTCTCAATTTGAACTAGAAATGTATATTATATGACCACATGCCCCAATTTTTGGTTTGGTAGTATGGCCACTATGTGTATGGCTGTCGAGAAAAATGTAGTCTTCTGACCTCTCTTTCATGCTAAGCAGGGGTTAATCAGTGACAGAATTAGTCTACTAATTCAGTAATATTAAGGTCAGTCCTTATCACTTCGTCCCCTTTGCATTGGATGGAACCAGTTTGAGTCTGCCTTTTTAGAAGTCTTAAGATCAAGCCAAGGGAGGAGCAGTTGAAGGAACCAAGGATGTTTAGCTTGGAGAAGAATAGACTTAAGGAAAACAATTTCTCAAGTATTTGAAAAACTGGCATGAGGAAGAGAAATTAGACTACTCTTCTTGGTCTTGGAGGACAGAATAAGAAGCAATGGATAGAAGTAACAATGGAGCAGATTTAGATTCTAATGTCAAGAAAAGTATTCTTAATCAGAGCAGTCTAAAAGTGAGTCTGCCTAATGAGGAAAGAAACTTGTAGGGAGGCCTGTGGAAAATGAGGCTTAAGAATGAAATCCTCTTTCTTAAGGGATAACTTATAAAGCCTATATGCTCCATCAAGTCAAGTCAACAGTATTTGCTAAGCATTTACAGTGTGGCAGGCACTGTATTGAGCACTGGGGATACAAAGAAAGCCAAAATAGTCGCTGCCTTCAAAGAGCTCATATTCTTTTGGGGGGTGAGCTCATGCAATTATGTACATGCAAGATATAAACAAGGTATCCTCAAGATATCAGGAGTACTTGAGAAAGCACTGAACACGTGAGGTGGACTTCTGTTGCTAATGGGAGGACATGAACTCTGCATGTGATAGACAGGCAGGGATAGATGGATTGCAATATGGATTTTGGGAGAAAATTCCAACGTCAATGAGAACATAAATGCTTTTGAGTATTTGGGTGAACCTCTAGTGTGGGCAAGAAAAAAATAATCATTACGTGCAAGTCACCATTACAGAAACAAAATCATGAGGAAGGCATTTTGAGGGGACAAATCTAAATTTCTTTCCATTATCATGATTTCAATAACTTAACTTTAAAGGTTGAATTGATTTCTGTTTACATAGACTCAACTGTGAAAATAATTGCATTCTTTCTGTTTACACCATCAAATGCAATCAAGCCAAACTAGATGGTTAGCCAGAATGATTAATGAATGCAGCACTAGCTGAAAGCTCTAATTTCAAAATGTGTTACTATTGTCAGGGTTGATTAGTTCTCAATCTAAAACTGATGCTGTTGAAAGCCTTTAGCAATTTAGATGTGGATAGTAAAGAAGCAAAATTTACCATGGAGAAAGGTTTCTATGGGGACTCTGCTGCTTCCCAGTAAACTTACCTACAGCTTAGACAGATATTGGGAATACAACTTTTCACAAATGCTCAGTATGAGTCTGCCTTCTAGATAGACTCAGTGGAAGAGACTAAAACCTGAAGTTAATATAACAGTATGGAGGGGTGGTGGGTGGTAGTGAAGGAAGGCATTGAACTAGTAACTCAGACTGCAATAGGAATTCTTAAGTGGTTGGGGTATTAATATTGATCATTTCACGTTCAGAACTTTTCATGTAGCAGAAATAAATGAAATGGAGGTAAGAGGTTAATACTCTGCCATGCTATAGTAACTTTTCTGAAAATGAATCCATAGGGAAATCAGTGTAGTCAGTGGTGGAGACCAGCATTTTTATTAATAATATAAAAAGAAATCTTGGTTATTGTAAGTGCTTTGTAAGGACTGACTGCAGAGGAATAGAATTGTAAGGCAAAATTGTTAGGCATCATAAGTGGTTCAGGGCTAAGAAGGCCAGGCTAATTCCATACTGATCAGATTGCTAGCTGAGAAACTAATTAAAGTAATTACCCAGTTCTCAACCTATTCAAAAGGTTAAAATGGACTTAACTGGCATTTTTTTTGTAGCAGCAAGATAGAGATAAAAATTAGATTGCTGAAGGTGGTTTGACTTTAGGACCACATGACAAGTATCATTAAACATTCTCAACATCTTTGCTTACAGAGTGTTTTATTATTTGTCCAGATTTCCCAAGATAATTTAAATGAAGCAATTTAAACAAGCTCTTGGCTGGAGAGGAAAGTTTTCCTGTATTTGGATGACATCCTTGTCCAGTAGGGTCTGATAGTTTAGTAATTGTGGGGTTGGAAGCTGGAGGAAGTTATGAATGCATCTTAGCCACCTCCAAGAAAAAGGCTGCAAACAATTTGGATCCCTCTATATAGTTGTACCTAATGCAAGAAAAAAAAAACAAAGGAAAATTTTTTATTAAAAACATTCAGTATTTGTAGAGGAAAATTACAATTTTAAAACCAAGCTGATGTCTGCAACTTAGTGTTCGGAGATCACAGGGGGAAAGTCATTTTGTGTATTCAAGGTTGGTAATATTATAATTGTGAAGAGGACAGAGTCAACAAATTAGTAATTATGTGCCCTCCCTTGTCACATGACCAAGGAGGTTATGGGTCTTGCTGAGAGAAATGACCTATTTTAGTTTCTAACTACTGACATGTCAAGGCTTTTACATTTTAACATTCCTTTGTCTACCCCAGTGTGTTAAGCTTAGGAGAGTTATACAATCTGGCAACAAGCCATGCAGAATGAAGAGTCCTTTTAAATGTGTGATTGACCTATATAAGAGCAAGAGCCATTTCACAATGGTTAAGTGGCCAAAGGATATAAAGAAATATTTTTCAAAGAATTGTAGGCTATTAATAAACATATACAAGGTTGTTCCAAATCACTAGTGCCAAGAAATGCAGATTAAAACAACTCTTAATGTTTCACCACTGTCAACAAGAATTTATTAAGCCCCTACTGTGCACCCAGCACTATGCCAAGCAGTGGGGATAAAAAGAAAGGCAACAACTTAGTCCCTGGCCTCAAGAAATTCCCATTCTAATGGGCAGAGATGACAAAAGATGAAAATAACCAATTTTGGAGGGATTTCTGGAAGATAAGCACACTAATATGTAGTGGGTTTGCCATTTCCTTCTCCAATTCCTACAGATGAGGAAACTGAGGCAAATAGAGTTTAGTGAGGGTCATAGTATCTGAGTATACTATGAGTATATGAGTATATAGTATATGAGTATACTAGTATAGTATACTAGTAAGTATCTGAGGTCAACTTTAAACTTAGGTCTTCCTTACTCCAGGCCTACTGCTCTGTCCACTATGAAAAAACAACACACTGTTGGTGGAACTCTGTGAGCTAGAAAGCAACTTGGAATTAAGATTTTTTAAAAATGATTAAAATGTCCATACTTTGCCTCAGAGATCCCACTGCTGGGCAGATACTTCAAGGAGGTTGAGGACAGAAAAAAAAGTGGCATATATGTCAAAATATTCATTACAGCATCTCTTTTATGGTAGCAAAGAACTGAAAACAGTGGGCTGAACAAATTGTGGAATATGAATGTAATGGAATATTACTGTATCATAAGAAACAATAAATATTAAAGATTCAGAAAACCTGGAAAGACATAAGAACTGAAGCAGAATGAAATAAGCAGAGCCTGGAAAATAATGCGATATGACTACTAACAACGTGAATAACAACAACAACAAATGAAACTGAACACTGTAATTGTAGTGACCAAGCTTGGCAATGGAGAAGAGGTGAAAAAATGTACCTCCCTTCCTTCTTTGACTGAGTGTAGAGGACTGTATACACTACCACCACATGGCCTGTGTGTTGATTACTTTTGCTGAAATGCCTTTTTTCTTTTTTAATCTTTGTTAGAAGTGATGGCTCATTGGGTAGGAGAACAGAAGGAGATATATTAAAAAATGAAGATGACATGAAAATAAGATATCAATAAAAATTTTTTAAAATTTTTAATGTTTGGTTGTTCTTAATTAGTGGACTGAATAGGGATCATCTCTGAGAAGATACCAATGGTCAGGCAGTGAAGAGTTTCACCCCACCAAGTATTCCCGTTAACCTGTTTATTTTCTCATTCTGAGAGTGTTCTCCATCATCAACAGCTCCTAGTGGTAGCATCATCACACTCTTTTGGATAATATCCTGGAATGTTTTAGCAATTGGAATAGTTGATCCATCTCGTATCATATCAGGATCTACTCCAAACACTGAAACACGGAAAAAGAGACAGCACTGCAAATAACGGAACCACCTGAGTACATTCAGTTTCACAGTCAACTAGGCCTCACTTATGTGCTAGAAATAAGGGTAATAAGGATACACAGACAAGAGCATTCCCTGCATTCTAGACTCCTCTCTCTCTCTCTCTCTCAGTGTCTTTCTACATCTCTACATACCTACACACACAGACCATATATTGATATCTGTCTATCCATCTATATCAATAGTCTAAGACACTGTTTGCATTAACATTTCTTTTAATGGTTTGACATTTCAGAGATAGGGAAACCCTTTGGTAATCAATCCACACATATTTACCTAAATTACATTACTGCTTCTTGAATTTAATGAGAGAAGTATTTTTTCTCATAAATGGTATACATTAAGTTAACATTGTTCAAAGCAAGGCACTAGCTGCAGATAACATGTTCAATGATCAAAAGGGAAAGGATTTGGTAACCTGCTTTCTGCATAGAACTGAGAAACAACTGCTGTGGGGACCAAGCCTTTTTTTTTTTTTTGGTGACACAGTTGGGGTTAAGTGACTTGCCCATGGTCACATAGCTGGTAAGTATCAGGTGTGTGAGGCTGGATTTGAACTCAGGGCCTCCTGACTCCAAGGCTGGAGTGCTATCTACCACTTAACCTAGCTGCCCCAGGACCAAGCTTTAAATCAGAAATTTTGCATCTAAGGTAAGTACCTCAAGCTGTGTGCCCCAGGGCAAGTGGAGAGAAACCCTGGGGGTGGGGGTGGATAGCCATCACTCCATGGGAGGAGACAGGGGTTTAGGGGCACCACAATAGCAATGCCTCATAGGCAGCAGGGGCACCTGATAGCTTCTCGTTTTAATTAATTACTCTTGATTGCTGACATAGTGCTACACTTTTGGAGTCAGGAAGTTCAAAATTCAAGTCTTGCCTCTAACACAACTAGCTGCGTATAGGACCCAGCCTCTCTGTACCACCGGTGACTCACTAGGACTTCCAAGTTAAAAATGGTCTGCACTAATGGCTGTTCTGCCCTGTAAAATGGATAAAGAGAATTCTTACCAGCTGAAGAAATAAAGATCTTCTCATTTTTGCTAATTATGTGCTAAGATCAGTTGTTTCTTCTTGTTTGGCATCCAAAGAACCTAATTAGAGCTAGTATAGTGGTTAAAGCTGGAGGTGCCTTTAGAGATCATTTTGTCTAACCTGCTTTTTTACTGAGATGGCAACAAAAACCAGTGCCCGATCTTCTAACTCCTAGTCTAGTGCCCTTTCAGTCATGTTGCTAAAATTTAGACTCCCTCAAGGGCCTTCTAGACCAGTCCATTTGGCCTCATGACTCAACATATGTAGCTGAGTATGAAGAGAGGATCCTCAGTCCTTCTATGTGTACTCTGATTCCAAGGTCACCTACCACCAACACTCTGAGAGAGAGAGGAAGAGAGAGAGAGGGAGAGGGAGAGAGACAGAAAGAGAGGGGGGTGAGGGAGGGAGAAAAAGAAAGAGAGAGGATTTTGAGACCTGGGAGAGGAGGGAAAATAGATCTTAAAGGGAAGGAAAAGGTCCCTGGGGTTTAGAAAGCAGGGGTGTCTACAGATAGGCATGGCCCTTCAGGAGGACCTTTAGGACAGCATCCCTCCCCTGCCTTGCCCTCCCTAAAGTGGCCCCAGCTCCATCCCTCATTGGGTAAATCATGCTAAGAGGAAGCCCCTGAAAAGGACTTTCCCCTCAAGAACTTTGGGTGGCATTTCTCCTTTACTCTTGAAGCCTATCCCCTGAAGTACCCCTACTCTATTCAAAGGGTCCTCCTTCCTACCTCCACTCCCTAGGATTCCCTCTGAAGGAAAAGTTGAGAAGCCAAAAAGGGTAAAACATCAAGGAAAGGAGAAAGTCCCTGGGATAGAGGAGGCAGAGGTGTCCCAAGGAAGGCCCAGCCCTCTAGCAGAAGCCATGGGTCTGTCTCCACTCCATTCAATCCACCTGAAGTGTTTACCTGAACACATGGTGCTGAAAACCAGACCCTGAATGGCTCCCTCACCAAGGGATGATTTTGGGTAGGGTACTATTCACCAGCAGTCTAATGATCCTCCAGCTCCTCTTGCATCCCAGGACAGTCCATTCTACCTTCAGGCACAGAACTATTAAGGATTTCCCCCCCCCCAATAAGCCATTTCTAAACCCACCAAATATTTTGTTGTCATATGTCTCCTTTATGTCCGAAAGATTGACATGAAAGACAACTAAAATTCTCTGTTAAAAACTAGGTTAGCTATATCTATACCACTCCAGTGGTCTACCAATGTAATAAACCTGTCAAAAAGTTAATGACATTAACTTGGCAAGACCTATTTTTGATGAAGCCATCCCAGTTCTCAGTGATCACCATTTCATGATCTAGATGTTCACTAACTATCTCTTTGATAGTACCTTCCATAATTTTGGCAGGAATAGGAGACAATGGCATTGGTCTATAGTTTGTAGATGCAATTCTCTTCCTCTTTTGAAAACTGGGGAGATTTATCCTTCTCTTCCAATTCTCCATTATCTTTGAATCATTATCGCTGAAGCACTGATACTCAAAGCAGCCTAACCAGCTCCCTTAACTTGGGAGAACACCATAGTTATTTTAAATAACAACATTCTGTCTTCCTTGCACCCAAAAGACCTTTGTCAAAGGCTTCAAACATCCTCCCCGTGACCCTCCTGAGTGTGGTTTTCTAAGTGGCCTGCAGGGATCTTTATGTACAATTTCATGTCCTACAATTCTATTTGACCCTTTATGATAAGTTTTAAATGTCTTTCTGAACTTAAAAAAAAAGTCCCTTTTACTGCTCAGTACAGTTCTTTGCCATCTTCCATGTTGGGATATCAAAACTCACTAAGTGTCCCACCTGTTTTGATTGCTCTTCTCGCAGCGATGTACTGAATATCATGAATATTAGCAATCCATGGGTGGACTCCCAGCATCATGGTGACTTTCAATTTGTTGGAACTATTGCGCTGAGAGAATATATCCTCAAGGTGCTTTTTCACCTGAAAGACAACATCTGTATCAGAAATACAAACATTTTCTATTTACTCCCTCATTTTACTTACCCTATTTAACCTCCCTCATTCTCATTTTCCTCATCTGTAAAATGGGTATAATAGTAGCACCCATATCACAGGTGCTATTGTGAGATGAAATCACGTATGTCAAATTTTGCCTTGCAAAATTTATAGTGCGATGTAATTGTCTATGATATAATGCCATTTCATTATTATTTTTATTATATGCCCACCAATCATTCATAATAATATTTAGATGCTGGCGACTGGGTAAAATTCCTTTGTGACATGTCAAAGAGGTTTCTATTTTATTTCAACGTTGAGAGAATTTAGCCTAAGTTATACTAAATATTGTATCAGAGTATAGCAACTTCCAAGTATGTTGTTTGCAAGCATACTTGTTCATAAGTAGCCTGACCCCTGTGGCCAAAATCACTGAGCTTCATTTAATTATAGAGTTCAAAATCCTTGACCCATACAACATAAAAAAATTAAATTTGCAAAAAAGCCTTCTTTCTATGATGCCTACAAGGCATTACCCTACTACACGTTTTGTGACAGGAAACAGTCTAAAATGGTCCAAAACAAAGGCCTAAGTACTAGGCAAAATATTGCACCCTCCTTTCTACCCTTCTGCTCCCTTGATGCATGCCTTCTCTCAATTAATCAGATGTATTTATTCAGATTGAGAAAATAATGCTGCAACTTCTCCCAGATAACATTTATCTTTTAACTACTGCTTTCAATATTGGAATTTCACATACCAGTGAGATAGTAAGATGCTATTTCAAAACCACCTAGGCACCCTAAGCATAGGGCCGGCTTTGCCTAATTAGCTATCCTGTTTATGAAAAGTTTTTCCTGGCTCTTTAGCAATGACTGATCCTACACTCGACAACTGTCTCACAAATGAAACGCAATCCTAAAGCATAAGAATTTGTTGTCTGATATGGAGTACTGATGCAAATTACAGAAGATTTCTAGTACTTCCCTTTAATAAAAAGTGATGAATTTGCAGGATCATATAGAGCACACAGATTTTGAGCTAGAAAAAACCTTAGAGGTCATTTTAGCCTAAATCTGTAATTTTACAGATGAAGAAACTGAGGCCCAGAAAGGTCAAATGATTTGCCAAGGTCACCTTATAGTGAGTCAAAGTGAATAAGTTAATTGTTCACTTATGATGTATAATATATATATATATATGTATATGTATATATATATATGTATGTATAGTTCATAATTACACTTCCATTGATAGAATAGCAGTAAATTAGTTCATCTTTTGTTACCTGTGTCTCCACGACAGAAATATTCATATGAGGCACTAAGCGGATTGAAAATTTTCCTATTACTTGGGCGGGTATGACTGTTTTAGCCCCTGGTTCATCAAACGCTCCCTCGATCCCATGGATAGAAAGAGATGGATACCGCCAAAGGTGCATGAGGATTTCCTCCTAAGTGGAAAAAAAGTGATCCAAGGATATTTAGTGACTGAGTGAGGGATCCTGAAGTTGAATCTTAGTAGGTGGCGGCACCAGGCATAATGTATCAGAAAATAGCTGAAATGGATCTGAATAGGCCCTCATTACGGAGCTTGTTTTTCTCTGTTGAAGAACTGGGTATTCTGTCCTTAACAGATAAAGGTCTCCATTCTGAATTTTTATCTGAAGATGGGGAGGTTCCAGATTTAAGTCTATACCACCAATAATTGGGAATTCATTCAACAAACACTAAATGCCACTGTTAAGCAATGGAATTGATATAAAGCTTAGATAAGACTCAATCCTTGTCCAGATACATAGCACAATACCAATAAGATCATAGCTCTAGAGCTGGAAGAGCTTCAGAGTTCCCTCTCTTTTTATAGATGAGAAGAAAGCCATAGAGAGGTTAAATGACTTGCCCAATATCATCCAAGTAGCAAGAGGGAGAGCCAGGATTTAAATGCACAGCACATCCTGTGACTCCAAATTCACTCCTCTTTCCACCCCACCTTGATGCCTCCCCTTTTAAAAATAAAAATTAAATAGGAAATTTAAAGGGTTCTGCACACAGTACAGAAAGTATTTAATAGATATTTGTTGAAATGGAACAAAATTTGTTGAGAAGTCTTCAAAAAATTCTTTTGAATTTTGGAACAACTGTCTTCTTGCCCTGAGTCCTCCAAAGCTAATCAGAGGGAAGAAATGTTTCCCTGTTAGGAACTCTTCCTCATCTGCCTGGACTCCCAGAGAAAAGAGCCATGACTCCCAAACACCATACCATGTGAATGAACATTTCAAATAGAAAAATCTATCTTTTCCTAGTACTGACACTACTCCTGCTTAAACATCTTTACATCTACATTAGGTTCCCAAAACCCAATGCTCTGATTACAGGAAACAGGAACTTACAGAATGGTCCCTCGTGGCATGAAAGCACTATTAATTGCTCAGATTTCAAAAGTGCAAAGATTGGAACTCTGAGACTAAACTGGGCACAGGGGGAGTTGAAGTCATCTTTTCCATAACTCTCTTTCAGACTATCAATCAAGTTGTGGCTGTACCTTGGTGTCAAATAGGAATTTTTCCACTTGGCTACTATTTTGATATTCTTCTAGGTTCAAATCAATAGTTTCATACATCTTCTTTTCCTCTTCTGAAAGGGGAGTCACATTATCATAGATCCCAGGGATCAGAATATGGCCTGATGAATCTACCAGGCTTCCTACAAAAGAATGCACCAAGAAGAAAGACAATTTAATTGAATGCAATTCAACAACCATATATTAAGTGCCTACCATGTGTAGGAGGCTGGTAAATGGTTCAGTGGGTAGAACACTGAGCCTGGTGTCAGGAAGACCTGGGTTTAAATTCAGCCTCGGACACTCACCAGCTATGTGATCCTGGGCAAGTCACTTAACCTCTGTTTATCTTAATCTACTGGAGAAGGAAATGGCAAACCATTCCAATATCTTTGCCAAGAAAACCCCATGGACAGTATTGATGTGGTCAGACACAACTGAACAACATGAACAAGCTACTATGCTGGACAGCAGGGATACAAAAATAAAAGTAAAAGAATCCCTGCCTTCAGGGAGTTCACATTCTACTGGACAAAACAGCATGTGCAATGAAAATTAATAGCCATATAGAAGTAGTTGAGGGACACTAACCATTGGGAAGATTAGGAAAGGTCTCCTATGGAGGTGATGCCTGAGCTGAACCTTGAAGGAAGCTAGATATTCTGGGAGGCAGAAGTAAGGAGGAAAAACTCTCCAGGCCTGGAGGACGATCAGAAGTTTAGGGCTGTGAGCTGGTCGATGGCACGGCCTAACCTATCATTTCAGTAATCGTTATAATAGGTACTGTTTACTATTGCTAAATCTATCATGCAGCATGAGAAACAGACAGACATATAGACATGCATGTGTGTGTATATATATGTATATACTTTAAAATATTTTATTTTTTCCTCAGTTACATGTAAATACAATTTTTAACATTCATTTTTGAGAAATTTTGAGTTCCAATTTTCTCTCTCCCTCACCTCCTCCCTCCCAGTAAGCAATTTGTTATAGGTTATACATGTTCAATCATGTAAAACATTATACACACACAGACACACACAGATTTATATACATATATATTGTATGGGTGTATATATTTGGTCAAAGCAAATAAATGAGATTAACTCTCCATAGGCCAGTTATTACATGGACCTAATTTAAGTCATATTTCTTTCCATTGAAATTGCCATTTTACCCAATTTACTGATTAAAAACAAACAAACATGTTGTGCTATCACAAACTAAATCGTGCATAACTTACAAATATCACCTGGCAGCTAGCATTTTTTTTTTGCAGGAATTAGTGCTATGATCAAGAATCTTTAATTCGAACTGAATTACCTTTCAGAAATGTAATGCAGTAGGGTAATGATGATTACTGAGGTATTTATCCACAGGAGATAAACATAATCATGTCTTTGGTCTTTATTTCAAATTTTATGTTATTAACAGGGATGGAAAAATAAATCTGATTGATAAACACACAAAAATAATTTGCTATTTACCTCTTAAGAGTTTAGCTTTTTGCTCACTTCAATATAGGATTGGCAAATGTGTATTCAACCTCCTTACCTTCCTTGCAGCGATGGAGAACTAGGAATGGGGAGTATCACAAATACTTTCTGACATGGTTGATTTGTTCATTGGTTTTACTGAACTACTTTTTTCTCTTATTTTAAATTTATTTTACAAGGGATAGGGCAGAAATACAAACACAAATAATATATAAAATGTCAATAAAATTTAAAATTATATATATATATAATATATATATATATATATATGAAAATGATATAACCAGATAGTAAATTTGGAGGAAAATGATGAAAAAAAAGTTTTCTAATCAATTCATTTGAGAAATTCAGACTTACTTTTACTTGTATCTAATCAGTTAATGGAATATTCATAAAGTCAAGACCCCTTGTAAATACAAACACAATATTAAAAAAATTTAAATAAATGCCAGAAGAAGGAAAAAAATACTGCTATGCCTCAGAATCTTAAGAACTATGATGTAGGAAATTGAATCACAGAAACTTGAGTTGCAAGATACTTCATAGGTTATTTGGTCTAATTTCAGAAGAAATTGTAGCTATGATAACATGGTGCCAAGTGACCTTGGACAAATCATTTAACCTCTCTAGTACTCAGTTCTCTCATGTATAAAAAGAGGAAAAGGATGGAAGATTGGGCCAGATTATCTCTAACGTCCCTCCTTTCTCTGAATCTACTCATGACCTAGTATCACAGATTCAAACCTCCTCCATTCCTCAACTAACTGGCCTGAATGAACAAAATCAATAAATTTATTTGGTGCTATTAAGTTACACCTTAAGCAAGCTAAGGGGTCACATATAGGCAAATATGTGGCCTGGCCTGTAATAGTTTTTATTCAGAAAAGTGATCATCAAAGTTAGTCTCTATTTAAACAGACCAATGTAAAGAGATCTAACAATTGCTCAATTTGATTAATAACAAAAGTCCATTCAGATAATTTAAGTTAAAGGGAGGAGGGGAAACCATTTTGGTGGCTAAATTGTCAGGATTGACTGTCATTGGTTAAAATAACAACAAAAAACCCCAGATTATTTGCAAAATTTCCTTTTTGCATTGAGGTTGGTAGGCAATATCTTGATAGTGAAAACCATATAACTCTTTACTTGGCTTAAAAAAAAAAGGGAGGGGAGGAGATTGGGAGTAATGAATGACCAGATGATTAAAATACAGCTGGAGCTAAAATAAAAGTACTCTCAGCAGGATGTAAGGGGTATATGAAATGGAAATGAGCTGGGATATTTTCCCTGTGATTTGAGCAGGTATTGTTAGACATGGCTATAATGGTGGACATAAATTTAGTTGTCCTTAGCAAATTAGGATGTGATGTAAGAGGAAATGGCTCTTCATACACTCACTCTACTTCACCAGCAAAATTGCTCCAGCCTCAGACCTCACACTGTATTTTAAAATCATTCATTAATTCTGTTCCCACAGGGTGTAAAGAAACCTTCCCAGCTGCGAGCTCAGGACTAGTGCCATTGAATACACCCTGCCAGAAGAGAAATATTATTTGCTCATTTTCCTTTTCCTTTTAATTAACTCACAGAGAAATTTGATTAGAGAGAGCTATTGAGTATTTCTCAGTAAATTCTGCTTTAACTGAAAGACCATCACTAAGGATGGGTAATGGGAAAACATTGATATATACTCTATTCAGAAATCATTCTGTTTTACATATCCTATTTTCAGTAGTTCTCTAGTATTGAGTGAATTTGCATGAAAACAGGATGCTTAAGAGTTCATTTTCTCCCACTGCTCATTTTCCACTTGAAAACATAATCCCCTGTACGTGATATAATTTCTACAGCAACCGTCACATCCAAGAGGATCATAACCTCAGGAAATGAATGGTAGGTACTGCCTTTTCAAACTGCACATAATAAATGTAATTCTTAATCCTTAATAGTCTTCTTTGAAATTTTAACAGCTTAAATAATATCCAATATTTGATACTTATAAAAATACCTTTGCTCAATTCTCCCTTCTGCTACAATGCCTCAGGAGGACCATTCAGGGCATAGAACATCTCTACAAAAGGGAAGTATCGTAGTTAGAAAGCTGAAAGGACCATAGAGGTCACCTTAATATATCTAACCCTTTCATTTTGCAGATATGGAAACTGAGGCACAGAAATTAAATGACAGAAATTTCTAGCAATATGGCCAGAATTATAACTAAAGTTGGGCAAACTGGTGCTTTGTCCCAGGATAGTAAACTTGTGATCTGCAGGGGGTTTTTTTAGCATCTCAGAAACAACTGGACTTAACACCTAGTTAACAATAATCACTGGTTAAGATAAGAAGCTATATAGTGTTCCCTCCCAGCAGTGGTCACACTTTAGGTGAGATTCTCCAAGTCCTAGGATCCTCTTCACTCCTGTCAGCAACTGGCACACATTGTACCTCTTCCCTCCTCCCACCATCCCTTCAAAAAAAATTTGCTGGTTAAATCTCTGTGCATCTCCCAGAACGATGAGGGGAAAAACATGGTGGAATCAGAGCCTGATTCTACTTGACTTCCATATCTCTGTTGCCCTCTTTGTCATATTTCAAATATGCACAACTGGCCATTAAGCTGTGGATTCTAAATCAGTAGTGAGTAGTCCCTCCACAACATCCCACTCCTCCCCACATGGCAGAAAGAGTTATGATTGTGACTTAATAAATGCTTCATTTCAGAATGTTGGGGCAACATATATGTGAGTATATGTACAAAGCATACACAAATTCTACAAACAGCAACATTCAGAAATCACTCAATTTGTTACGAATTTCTCACTTGATTTGTTACAAAAATTAAAGAAAGTAAAACAATGTGCTTTTTATATTCCATTCATGAACCCCAAACTAGCATTCCTTAGCAATGCACTATGCATTTGCTGGACTAAATGAAATTCTATGTTTGATTTAAGCCACACATTCTAAAAAAGAATTCATGTGCTGCAATCATGCTTGGGGAAAAAATTGAAATGTACTACTGATGATTTGATGATGTGGTGTTCTTATAGAAGGGAAAATTGGTTCAGATAAAACAGAAAATGAACCTTTTTTTTTAAAGTGTTGAGCTCCATATTTTCTGAATTTGGCTGGAAACTAAATACTTGGGAAGAGAATCACTCATGATATTTTTCTATGAAACTGAAAAGTGCAGGGAATTTTGTCAGGGAGTTAGATTTCAGAAGAATTAAAGGCTGCTGTAAAATAATATTAAGAAAAACAATAATGGCTTACATTTGCACATTATTTTATGGCATACACACACATATTATCTCATTTGATACCCATATAGCAGCCCTGTAAAGTAAGCAAGGAAGGTATTATTATTATTATTATTAATCGTTCCCATTTTATAGATGAGAACACTGACTGGAAGTGACTTACCCAGTATCATACAACTATTAAGTATTGCAACCATCCCTAGAACTCAGGTCTTTTGATTCAAGATAACTTTTCATAATTGGATACAGTGTGGGATGGAGAAAAAGATGGGATTTATAGTCAGAGGACACAGGTTTGAAACCTTGCTCTTCCACTTACTGCCTGTGTAAAAATGAGCAGCTCACTTCATGCTTTTTCCTTCGTATCTTTTCTGCAGCTGTCACATCTCAGCATGCAAACATTCTCTTCTATGGGGTGGAAGGTGGAGAGGTGGGGGCTGGGAAGGCACCACAACTAAAGAGTAATTTGTGAAGCATTCAAAGGAGGCTATAAAGATGTTAAAGCATTGATACCAGGCTCCTAAAAAACACATTAATCCCACACCTGGAATAGGGAGTTGCAAGGAACTCATTAGAGATGCTGTAAAGTTTGGTACTAACTAAAACAAACCTGAAAAACATCCTCCATACCACCATTGCAACCCGTTTCACAGAGAGCTGGCTATATGGAGTTATCAGCAGTAATGATATCTTCTGTTCGTTAATCATCATGGTTCTGTTCAGGTTGCAGATGCGGGGGGCAGAATCTTAGGAAACCCTACTTCCTATGCCTCTGGAATCACTATAATGGCAAAATTGTCCAAGTGGATTGGGAGTACCTATATTAAAGGAGTAAATAATAGGCTGCTGTGTGTTACAGTGGGAAAAAATGCTAGAATTGGAGTCAGGGGACCTGAGCTTAAGCCCTAATTTTGCTTCTTCAAAGATTATAAAATCTGAGACTTGGAAGAGACCTCAGCAGTCTCCTAGTTCAACCAACACCTAAAAGGGATGTTACTGTAATATACCTGACAAATGGTCATCCAGACTGTGGAGAACCCCTCATCTCCTGAGACACCCTCTTCCACTTCTGGGCAGCTCTGAGTGTTATGATTTTTTTTCCCCTGACATCAAACTAGATTTATCACTTTCCATTTCTACTCATGGATCCTGGTTCTGGCGTGTGGAACTAAACAGAACAAGGCTAATCCCTCTGTCACATAATGATCTTTGAAATACTTGAAGACAATTATGATGTATTCTGCTCCTCTCCACCCTTAGTCTTCTTTTCTCTAAATTAAATATCCCCAGGTGTTTTTTTTTCAACCAATCCTCATGGACTCAAGGTCTTTAACTACCTATGTTGCCTTCTTCTATGTTGTCCAGCTGATCAATGTGCTTCCTAAACTATGGTGGTGTTGTTCAGTCATTTCAATTGTGTCTGACTCTTCGTGACCCCATTTAGGGTTTTCTTGGCAAGGATACCGGAGTTATTTGCCATTTCCTTCTCTAGCTCATTTTACAGATGAGGAACTGAGGCAATCAGGGTTAAGGGACTTGTCCAAGGTTACACAGATAGTAAGTGTCTGAGGCCACATTTGAATGCAGGAAGATGTCTTCCTGACTTCAAGCCTGGTACACTATCCACTGTGCCATAAACTATGGTGCCCAGAAATGCCAGATGTGGTCTGACTAGGCCAGAATCACTATCACCTCCTTATTCCTAGAAGCTGTGTCTTTCTGAAGGTAGCCCAGACTTTTTGGTTGCCATATCACACTGCTGACTCAATTTATTCATTTTGCAGTCCGTTGACCTCCATATCTTTTTCAGACAAGTACTTAACCAAAAATACCTCCTCTATTCTCTCCTTGCAAGATTGATTGTTTGAACCCAAGTAATGACTTTATCCTTATTGAATGTCATTATTTTAGTTTCAGCCCAATGCTTAACTATCAAGATCTTTTTAGATCCTGACCCTGACATCAAGTCTGTTAGTTATCCCTTCAAGCTTGGTGTCATATGTAAATGTAGTGAGAATGTCATCTGTGTTTTTATCCAAATCAGTGTTAATGGCCCAGGGCCAAGCACAGGTGCCTGAGGCATTCTACTGGAAACTCTCTGCCAAGCTGACTTTGAACCACTGAAGATAATTGAGTCAGGTCATTTGACCAGTTCTGAATCCATCTAATCAAATGATGATCATCTAGTCCATATCTTTCCATCTTCTCCATAACAATATCATGAGATACTTTTATCAAATGCTCTGCAAAAAAAAAAAACCTGGGCAAGCTCTCTCTGGAGCATTCTTCTGATGTACCAGCTTAGTACACCTGTTAAGAAAAGGAAATGAGGTAAGTCTGTCATCACCTATTCTTGATGAAGCTATGCCTGCTCTTAACTTTCTAAATGTTCTCTAGCTATGTTTGTAATGATATATTCTAGAATTTTTTAAGGAATTGAGGTGAAGTTCACTGGCTTAGAGTTTTCAGACTATTTTCTTCCTTTTTTTTTTTTGGAAAATCAGGACATTTCCCTCTCTTCAAACCTTGGTATCTTGTAACTTAAAATCTGCATGTCCTTAGACAAATCACTTAACCTCTCTGTAACTTGGTTGCCTGTAAGATGAGTGGTTCAGAATATCCTTTACAACTCTAAGTCAATAATTCTTTTGGCCCTTCTGATCTCCTGATGTCCATTCTATTGTCATCCAAGTCTGACCTGCGGTTTCCCAACTTTTTTTTTTCCCCACAAGGTTGAGAGAAAAGGAAAACAGATTTGACTAAAGTCTGAGTGAAACAATTGGGGTTATTTAGTCTGGGACTATATGTAGGAGGATTGAGGTCAATGCCTTCCCTTGTCCCTCATCTATTCTGTTTTCATTCAAAACTGTACAGGTTGTGGGGTCATCCATTATTCAGAAATTAATATCAAACTGAATTTTAGAGAATTCGTTTCTGCTTACATGATGATTAATAAATGAAATGAAACAAAGTATTACCAAGAAGGGATACCAAATCAGCCATAGGCTCATTGAGGATGCCACCAAATGTTCCTGAATGAAAATCTTGCTCCCTGCATTTCACCTGAAATAAAAGAGGCAAGTGACTTACTGTTTTTTGTTTGTTTCTTTTCTTTTTTACTGCTTTAACACTAGCTTTCCATGTTAAAAAAAGATAGAGGTCAAGCAACAATACCCATATAAGTACTTACTTTCTGAAGCTGTATAACCTTTTTTACCTTATTGAGCTATCTCCTTTTTACAGTCAAACATTGTGAATAAACTATATCCAGTTCCTCCATTTCTTTATCATCCACTCTTTCCTCAGTTCCCTATAATCTGGCTTCTATTCCCATGACTCCACTATTGGTATAGACGAAAGAACACTGGATCCAGGATCTGAATCTCTGAGTTCCATCACTGCCACTAATTGGCTTTGAGACAGTTCTTCCTTCTGAATTCACTATTTCTATTAGTAGTACTATTAGCCATCTAGTCTCCCATGTTTGACACCTTGGTATTATTTAAATACAGTTGATCTTCCTCTTCCTCTCCTCTAATACCCAATCAGTTAATAAATCCAGTTGAGTAATTCTACCACTGCAACCTCTTCTTTGTTTCTCCTGCCTGTTATGTCAGTCCAGCCTCACATTACTACCTGACAGAACTACAATAATAGCCTACCATCTAGTTCTCCAACCTCTATTTTTTCATCTCTAATCCATTTTCTATGCTGATGCCAAAATAATCTTCCATATGCATAGCTCTCACTTTTACTCAAAACCACACAAAGGATTCTAATTGTCTATTTATTAAATGAAGTTCAAATTCTGTAGCTTGTTATTCAAGTATCTTCCATAGCAGATTGCCTTTAAGCAGCTTTTTTTTTTTGTTAAGTGACTTGCCCAGGGTCACACAGCTAGTAAGTGTTATGTGTCTGAGGCCAGTTTTGAACTCAAGTCCTCCTGAATCCAGGGCTGGTGCTCTATCTACTGTGCCACCTAGCTGCCCCCTTTAAGCATCTTTATAGCTTTATGTCATACTACTTTTTTCCACATAGCCTATATTCAGGCCAAACTGGATTATTTGCCATCTTTTGTACATAACCCTACACTTCTCTGCTTCTGCGTCTTTGCAGATGCTGTTCCCTAAGTCAAGAATGCTCCTCCTTCCCAGGCTGCCTTCTTGTTGATTCCTACTTCCCTTCCCTTAAAGCCCAAGCATTTCCTTGCTGGAACACCACCCAAGACTTTGCTTTTCCACATCACAAATTATTTTGTACCATAGTTTTTTGAGTATGTGTTATATCCTCCTACTAGCTATAAGTTTCATGGAAGCAAGAATGGTGTTTTATCAAAATGTCAAAATGCCTTTTGTGCTTTACATACAGCTGATGTTTAATAGATGTTTTTTGAATGTAAGTCTTGTGGACCCTTTTTTCAAATGTCTCTTCAATCCAATCCTTTCTCTCCTTCACATTGCCATCACCATACCTAACTTCATGCCTAAGCTACCTCAAGCTTTTAATTGGTCTTTTTCTTCTCCAATTCACCCTTCATAGCACTGCCTGATTAATCTTCTTAAAACTTTCATAAGGTTCATCCCCATGTCCAAGAACTTTCTTCTTACTTAGAGAGATACAGTTTAGTAATAGCCTAAAACAATTACTTTATCTGACAAACCCCACCCAATAATATTCTGAATTCCTTGAGTATTTGTGTGGTTATTTTGTACCTTCCTCATCCTTGATCAAATATTTTCTTTAAATTGCTCTCTCAGGCTTTCTTGGAGGAAGTTAAAAATATGTTTCTATTTCCATATGTGGGAATATCATAGGAAATGAACTTTTAGATCATGTAGTTGATGAAGGCATACCCTCCTTTAGAGTAATCAATCAGAAAATGTTAAGCAGAAAGATAATGGCCTAATAGTGGTTGGAGAAGTAAAGTAATTTAGCCAGTCCTTCAGCAGATTAATGAAGAGAGGAGTGATGGGGCTGACCTCTGGGGACCTCTAGAGGGCCTGATGAGCCACAAGAGGACAAAAGCTTTAATGTCTCTCTGGTATCAAAATATTCTGAGAAAACTCCTATTTAGTGGGGAAGGATCTTAAATCATTCCCTTGACTCAGATGACCAGTACAGTGTTTTCTTTTGATGGTAGTGGTGGTAGTGTTTAATATTTTATTGATGCTTTTTATCTTTAATAACACCATCACTTCCCAATAACTGCTCCAACCTCCCTATCCCATAGAATTCTTCCCTGGAACAAAGAAAGAGAGAAGAAAATAAAACCATCAATGGAGTGGCATCAGATAGATTATGCAATATTCTTCACTTACTATCCATAAACTCTTTATGGAGAAGTTATAGTCAAGTATACAAGTATTTATTAAGCACTTGCTATGTGCTACTCACTATACTAAGGGTACAACACCCCCCCCCAAAAAAAAACCCAGCAAGTAGTCCCTGCTCTCAAGTCACAGTCTAATGGGGAGACAGCATGCAAACAAAAATGTACAAATAAGATATATGCACGATAAGTTGGAGATAGTCAACAGAGGGAAGGCACCATTTTCTAAATTACTGAAGAGGCTTTTCTCTTCATTGGAAACCCCTGTTATCTATTGCACCTCACTCCCAGGACTTCCTCGGCATTCTGGTGAAATGCCAGGAGGTAATCAGAGCAAACTGAGACATCAGCCAATTTATTTTCTGAATGAAAGTTTCTGATTTTGTCATAGGAATAAATTTTTAATTAAAAGAGAAAATAGTAAATTCTGATTATGTTTTATTATGTTTCATGCATTTTAATTAATGAAATAAGAATCAGATTTATCCATAGGATTTAGTACGCGACAATGCATACTTTCTTCAGAGTGAAAAACCTCAGTTACTTCCACAATCAGTGATGTGATGCTATTGAAATGGTAGTTATTAGCAGCGCCACTTAGGAAATAATGCCCTCAGGGCCTCTTGCTCTCTGGTTTAGTTTAATTTAGAATTTAGGATATGCAAGAATCCCAAGGAAAAATGATGTCTGGGGCAATGGATGTTCTCCCCAGCAATATATTTGGGGAAGTGGTGTTACCTATTCACACTAGAGACTTCATATTTTACATATATTTTATATTTATATATGTGTGTGTTTGTTTTCCTTTGATAGGGTGCAAGCTCCATGGGGGCTGTTTCCCTTTTGTCTTTGTATGTTTGCCTAGGGCCTATCATGGTATATACAATAGGCGCATGATAAATGCTTGTTTAAACGAAATCTTTACAACCACAATTGGTAAAATAGTACCTTAGATCTTTAAGAGACCTTGTGTGTGTGTGTGTGTATACATATATATGCATACATATGTAGTTTATAAAAGATTTAGTTAAATATTTGTATATAACCCTGTAGCAGTAATTCTGAGCCAGTCAGGTCATTCAATTAGTTCTTTCTTGTGTGATTGGTGCCATTATAACCACACTTGCTCTAGAGCAAAAGTATCCGTTTGGTTTCCTTTTGCCTTTTCCCAACTAGATATTTCTCACCCAGCTTTCTGACAGTTTTCTCAGTACCTCCACAGTGAAGTATATGTTTCCTCGGGTTCCGTAAGTGAGTGCAGGCTTCTTCTTGCTAATCCACAAGTTGTCTGAGATGACAATGTAGTCAACATTGGAGAAGAAACGGTCTTTTTCTCTTTCGACAAGCTTATCTAATGAAACTGAACCTGCTTCTTCCATTCCTTCAATGATGAATTTAATATTCACTGGGATATCCTGAATTAAAAAAGCAAAACATTTTAGCCAAGTTTTTTTTTGTTGTTGTTGTTGTTGTTTTAGGCAATGGGGTTAAGTGACTTGCCCAGGGTCACACAGCTAGTAAGTGTTATGTGTCTGGCGCTGGATTTGAACTCAGGTCCTCCTGCATCCAAGGCCGGTGCTCCATGCATTGCGCCACCTAGCTGCCCCAAAAACCAAAACATTTTAAAACTAATTATGTACCTACTCACCTTTCAAAAGTCAGGAATTGCTTATGTCTCATGCTTCTGTATTACAATTTTTTAAAATGACCTAGATCTGTGATTTTGTTGGCATAAGAACTCTTGGTAAGAAAATTCCCTCTATCAATGTAGACAGGAAACTTCTGAAATTTATAGCTTTTGAGAGTTGCCTAGGACTCTGAAAGGTTAGGGGACCTGCCCAGGGTTCCATAGCCAGTGTATGCCAGACTGGGACCTGAATTTAAGTTTTCTTAACTCAGAGGATGGTTCCCTCTGCTCTGTGGGCCATGCTGCTTCTCATTAAATGGAGACTGGCCCAGTGGGGCCAATGGACTTGACTGTTATAAGGAGATCCTAGTAAAGAAATTCCTCTACGGATGCAAGTTGGCACTTTCTTTGCCCCTGCTTGGCTTAGAGAGCTGCTCAGAACACTGACAGGTTAGGTAATTTGTCAAGTACCTATCAGAAGTAGGATTGGAATCCAGGTCTCCCTGGTTCTGAGGCTCTCTCTGTCAATTGGGGAAACTCAAATTAAATGTGCATATGTATTCTAAATACCTTGTCCTCACAAATCTGATTCATCTTATATAGCAAGTTTCCTTGAGTACAGGGACATTTCAAGTTAAATCTTGTTGTATGTCATATAGTATAGTGCATCACAACAGCTTAATGCTCTAATATTGGTGATGAAGGATCATATTCATTCACTCATTTATCACTGCAGCACTTCCATATCTATGTATAGACCACTGTGCTAGAAACAAGAGGAGTTACAAACTGCAAGCTAAGACAGGGTCTCAAGGAGCTAGGTCATAATCTATTTGGGGAAGAAGACACAAGCAAAGATTACTATAATACTGTATATAATATTTGATGACACGTGCATTAGGAAGTGGCAAAACCTAGTGGTATATGAGATCCAGCCACTTGTCAGGTATGTTATAGTGGGGATTCCTTTCATGTGTGGATTGGACTGATACCTGAGTTCCCTTCCAACTATCCAGTTCTATGATAGTGTCCAGGAGTATCATGGAGAAGGTAGCGTTGGAGCTGGGCTTCAAAGGAAAGGTAGGAATGAATAAGGTACGAGGGGAATCTAGGCACAGGGAGCAAGATGAGCAGTATGTGGAGGGCACATGATGGAGAATCTATCAGTTTTCTCTTAGGGTAGTGGGTAGAGAATCATAAAGAATCCCCTAGTCAGAAACAATTCCACTGTGTCCTGTCAGAATACTGACATTTTATTTACCCTTCTAAAAGGAAAGTTTCAAACCTGGGTCAGTCTATCTTTAAGACAATGTCCTCTTTCTTTCCGGACTCAATCATGGGCTTTGTAGTTTTTATCTTTCTCTCTATCTCTTTGTTGTAACAAACCAATAGTAGCAACAAAAATCCCACCATACGCAGAATCATAAACTAACACATCTTTCTTCAGAAGATTTTCTAATATTTGAGACTTAGGATAATTTCTATTTCAAGTATCTGTTACTTTTCAACTATCATTTCAATCTTCTTTTTAATTTTCTCAAAGGACTTTGATCTTGTGGAAAAAATGGAACTTGACTTCTCTAGTTAATATTTGAGCATGGAAGAGTGCCTTTTAAATTTTTACAGCATGTTTTTCCCTCTTTTTGCCTTTGATCTTTTGGTATCTTTGTAACTTATAACTTCAGGTCTTTGTGAGCCTCATGAGGAGAAAATAAGGTCCAAACCCTTTCCCAGAGCAGAAAGCATTGGGCTAATGCAAATGTAGAGAAAGAAATAGAAGGCCAAGTGTAAGCTTTGTATAACAGAATCACACTAATTAGTACTAATGATGAGAAGAAACTCTTAGATTAGTGAATCTTTAAAAAGGAAAAATGAGGGCTGTATTAGAAAATCAGTTAACTTTATTCATTTAGTTAGATAAGGGCAGTGTAGGTATAATGGTTTATGAAACTATATCCCATTGTATTTCTATATGTTTTAGCAAATCTTTTGAGAATACTGAAATCTTAATGATATGAGAGCTCACTATAGCAGCACTTGGTTAATAAGTAATTGCTGGGAAGTCATTGGCACCCACCAAGCTTTTTTTGGCAACCAAGGTTTGTGAGATGTGAGAATTCACAGGGCTTTATACATGAGAGCATTTTTAATGTACACACAAAAGGATATTCAGACTGCTAAAAATCTGAGGTGCTTTCTGCATTTTTCCTTTATGATTTATGATGTGGACTGGCATAGAGGAAATCCATATATTTTTAAATGTTCATAGGGCCTTTTAGGTTTTATATAAAACAATAATCCTGTCATCTGAAAAGGACAGAACACCAGACCTTCTGGACCAGACCAGACCTGCAGGTATAAGTGTTCTTGGATCCTTGCCAAGTTTACTGCAAGTTTAATAAGGGTCCTGTGGTCAAAGAGTATGTTCTGGCCATGGGAAATTGAATTACATGGGTGTTCTCAGGCTCATCTTAGGGATGCTGGACCACAGTGGACCTATGGGGTCTGAGCCCAGAGTGCAGGAGAATATAGGGAGGGGATAGCCCCTCTCCTGCTAAGTTTGACCCTGAGTGTTTTACTCAACACTGGAAGAGTCCTGGCAATATGGACTCCATTGGAATCCCTGACAGGAGCTGGAAGTACCCATGATCTTGGGAGTTATCCTGGACTTTAGACCCAACTTAGCTTGGGTTTCTCCTCAACAGCAGTGAAAGTCAGTTTTCTCATCTGTAAAATGAGGGATCTGAACTAGATGGATAATTCCTTGCAGTTCTGACATTCTATAATTTTGTCATTCTGTGCTTCTTCCAAACAGAGCTAAATCTATAAATAAACAAGATAGGCAGAGATAGGAAGAGAAAAGGGATGGGCTACAACAATGGACATTTTAAAATATTATGTTTTATGAGTGTACATATTTTTAATACCAGAGAATTCCAATTTGTATTACATTAAAAAAAAAAACAATCAACCCACAACTGTTATTTCACCAGACTAGGGAACTTCTAGGGAGGAACTCTGTCTAATAATGCATCCTAGAACCTTTTCTACAACTTACAGTTCTGGTAAGTTGACCAAGGCATAATAATAAAAAATATTATTAAAAACAACTAACATTTATTAAGTGTCTGCTATGTGCCAGGCACTGTGTTAAATGCTTTACAATTATTATCTCATTTGATCCTCACGAATAACTCTAAGAGATAGGTGTTATTATTATTCCCATTTTACACATGAGGAAATTGAGGCAGATATTAACTTACATGCTAGGGTCACATATGCTAGTAAGTTTCTGAGAATAGAGTTGAATTCAAATCTTCCTGACTCAGAGCCAATACTTTATCCACTGTATCACCTGACTCATGTCACACAGCTTATAGGTATTAGAGGCAGAAATTGAATCCAGAGCTTGCCTGATAGCAAGCTTGCCTTGGTTCCAATTCACATCTCCATTAGCGTATGTGAATTAGAGTGGAGAGAAAGGTAAGTATTGCGCTAAGAAAGAAGAATAATTAAGCTGAAGTAGCAGATACCTATAAGCATTGACTGTTCGTGATCCGTTTACTCTTAAACAAATGACATAATGCTTAAAGATTTTAAATGGCTATTTCTGTTTGTTACAATCACACTAAACAGCATTACTAATATAATAAAATAATATACAAAGAATATAAAGATATCAACTATAACTTTTGTGTCTCATTATCTGCATATCTCTTTATGAGATACAACATGGTACAGTGGAAGGGTGTTGAGTTTGGAGTCAGAGGGCTTGGGTTCAAATCTGAGTTCTTGTTAAGCCTCTTGACCTTTCTAGGCCTGTTTCTTTACAGTGAATGAGAGGTTGGATTAGATAACCTCTAAGGTCCCTTCCAGCCCTAAATCTATGATGTTCTGATCCCACAGACTAAATGATTTAGGGCAAAGGTCTTGTCTAATCTAAATTGTCTCTCCTTTAACACCTAGCAGAATGTTTGTTGAATTTCTGAGACAGAATTACCCAATCAGTGTGAGATTCAAAAACTGTATCTAAAGTCTATGGACATATAGTCAGTCTGAGAACTGTGTTTATTCTGGGAGGCATTAGTAAGATGCCAAAGTAGCAATATTATAATTTTTCATTTTAGGATTCAATTACACTGGAACGCCTTCCTGTAAATCTCTACTTCAATACCTTATTGTGATGTGGAGGTACTGACTCTGGGTTCTTTAAGGTTATACTACTACAAAGCAGGTTCTCACATGTTCTACCAAGGTAGAAAGGTGAGTACTGCCCAGTGCCCCAACGTAATTCTATGATCCAAGGACCAGTCTAATAAAGTTCAGAGAGATTCATCACCAAGTTATATGCAAGGTGATTAATTTTTTAGTCATAGTATCTCTCAAAGATTGTCTGCCAAGTGATCAGGTAGTTATAAGTCAAGAGTATACCTATAGCAATGAAATTTCAGGTCCTTTAAATATTGAATATCACCTAGCCCTGGGCAGCTAGATAGCACAGTGAATAGAGTACCCAGGCTGGTGTCAAGAAGACTCATCTTCTTGAGTTTGAATTTGGTCTCAGATACTTACTAGCTGTGTAACCCTGGACAAGTCACTTAACCCTGTTTGCCTTCATTCTTCATCTATAAAATGAGCTGAAGAAGGAAATGGCAAACCACTCCAGTATCTCAGCCAAGAAAACCCCAAATGGGGTCACAGAGTCAAACATGACTGAAAAAAAGATTGAAACCACCTACCCTATTCCCAGTAAATGACAGTAAATGACTGCTAAATAATACTCCCTGATGGCTTGAAATGATAAATAGGCCGGTGGAGACATATATATATATATATATATGTGTATATATATATATATATATATATATATATATATATGTTTATGTATGCATATATACATACATTATGTATTTATGTATCTGAGGAGTAATAAAACACAGTCCTACCTAAGAAGTATCCCACCTAAATGTGGCTTAAAAAAATTCTTCAATTTAATTTTATTTATTCAGGCATACTTCTCAGTTATCTATTGTGACTGAATGTATTATTATTTCCATAAGGCTAATGACCACTTTCTACTCATAGTTATCCTTTTAAATTCAATACCATAGGGCGTTGGTGACATACTTGGTTGAGGGCTTGGAAGGCACCCACTGCATTAATCCAAGCCAAAACAGGTCCTTTATTGTCTGTTGCTCCTCGTCCATAAAGTTTTCCTTTAAGTGGGAAAAGGAAAAAAAAAAGATCATAACAGTTTTTTTGAACTTCTGCTAAGTTTAAGAAGTTCAAAACAAATTTAACATGATGAATGATTATGTTAACAGCACATTTTCATTTTAGCTTTGAACAAATCTTGTTCTGAAATTGCGAAGTACATTTCATGAACACAAATTTCACATTCATTTGATGAGTGACCAATGTAAGACAATGTATATCACAGTGGCTTGGTAACAGGTTGACTCCATGACCATTGCTTATTGGAAGAGATCTGTATATTTGTAACTGAATATCATATAATCTGTCATTTTGAAAACTTGCAACTAAATGAAGAATGAATGAAAAATTTCCCAGTCCCTCTCAATTGTTCGTTACAATTTGTTTTTTTTTCTTCATCGTCATAAAATATAAATTATTGGTTTGGAATTTTTAAACAGGAAGACATTTCCACCATTAATTGAGAAGTCCTCTTACTGGTGAGTTAATCCATCCAGCAATTCAAGAGCTCATAGCCTCTTTGACAAATGAAAGAAAATCAGTAGCAGTAAACCAAATGATCTGATGAGGGGAAAGGATAGGCTGGAGGTGAAATAACATTTCTATTCATTATATTTGCTGAAATATCTAATAAAGACAAAAGTCATCAATAAATTTTATTTTACATAAATGAGGTCATAAATAACAAAGACTAGATTCCTTTTTGGAGGGTGGGGTAGAACCATATCATCTTTTGTAAATTCTTAGAAAGTCAAATACTTCTCTTTTTTTAATGAATTCTAAAATTCAAAAGGCAGCATGGCATAGAGGATGGTGACTTGGATGTGGATCTAGGAAGATCTGGGTTCATGTCCCATTTCTGATACATCCTGGCTATGTGACTCTGAGCAAGTCACAATTTCTCAGTGCTTTGTTGTTGTTTTTGTTCAGTAGTGTCTAACTCTTCATGAAGTCATTTGGGTTTTCCTGGCAAAGATACTGGAGTGGTTTGCCATTTCCTTCTCCAGCTCATTTTATAGATGAAGAACGAAGGCAAACAGGGTTAAGTGACTTGTCCAGAGTCACACAGCTAGTAGGTGTCTGAGGCTAGATTTGAACTCAGGTCTTCCTGACTCCAAGCCCAGCTCGCTCTATCCATTGTACCACCTAGCTGCTCCTCAATACTCTAGGCAAGTGTAAGACTAGCTTGCAGAGAAGGTGTTGACCTGAATTGGTAGAGAGAGTTCTATAAGCTGGGAATTACCTATAACAATGAAATCACAGGTCCAATTCCTATACCTATATAAACTTAATATGAAAGATCAATACAACCAATTAATCCTACTTTGCAACTATTTTCATTTAAATAAATTAATTTCAATGCATACAATATCATCACTTTTCAGTCACTCCTTTTACAATTTCCACCAGGATTCAGTCATTATTGTCCATTTTTTTTAATCCCTTTTGTGATTATGGTAAGTTTTGTATTTTTCTGGATCTGATATTTTTTGTTTTTCATTATTTCCAAAAGATCTTTGTAAATTTCTTTATATTCCTTATACTTTTTAATCTGAATTTTATTATAATATTCTTTTACATGAGTATAACAATTTATTTAACTATTCTTGTTTAGATTGCTTTCTTCCTTCCTTCCTTCCTTCCTTCCTTCCTTCCTTCCTTCCTTCCTTCCTTCCAGCCTTTCTTACTTTTTTATAATTTACAAATAACACTACTGTAAAAATCTTTAACATAATAGCTTTTTTTCTTTTGTGATAATACTGTTATGATATATATTTTGAACACTAGGATAAATGAGTCAAAGGGCATATTTATTTTTGTTACTTTTGCTGTGTGCTGCTAGAGCATTTTCTGAAAAGATTCTACTAGTTTCAAATTCTTTCAACAATTAATGAGTGTACCAGTTTGTATACCACCCCACTAGCACTGAGTTTTAATGTTTTAATTATTTTTGCCAATTTGAGGTGTTATCTCAAAGTTGTTTTAATTTGTATTCTTTTTAATTATTAAAGTTGAGCATTTTTCAACTGCTTATTAACAATTTATGTTTCCTCTTTTAAAAATTGCCCTTTTGTAGCCTTTGACCATTTATATACTTTGAACTGGATCTATGAAAATTTTAATAGTTCCTTATGTATTTTAGATGTAAAGTTTTTATATGTCATATTAGCCATAAGTATTTTTCCAGTCTGTTACTTTTATTTTTCTTTGTATTGTTTTTGTTGTACAGAAAATTTATCCTAATGTAATAAAACACATTTGTCTTGTCTTACCTAATAAGTCCCTCTGACAATAGAAATATCATTTCCCCTTCACAATTTTGATAAATGTCCCTTTCTTCTATCTTTTAAAATAGTTTCTCTTTGTATGCTTAAGTCTATTACCCAGCTAGAATTCAGTGTGGCATGGGTCTAAATCCATTTTCACCAAATTACTAAGCAACTTTTCCAAGTCCATTTATTAGTAATGAGCCATTTCCCCAGTTTTTGTCTGCTAGAGGTTTATCAAACTTTAGTATTTTATGTATATTTGGTTGGATATCTGGTATCTGTAAACTGTTCTACTGATCTTTTTTTTTTATCTAGTTCTGGATAGTTTTGAGAACTGCTTTATATGTTTTAAAGTCTGGGAGTGTATAACTACCAATATTACCTTTTTCTCCCCCTAGCCTTCCCTTTGATTTTATTGCCTATTTGTTTTTCGATATACATTTTATTATGTTTTCATCCATTTCTATAAATAAGCACTTTGCTCTTTTGATTGGTATTTCATTAAACTTGTAAGTGAATTTGGAGATTGTGGTCATTTTTACTATATTAATCTGACCCATTCTAAACATTGATTTCTAATTATTTAGGTATTCCTTTGTTTCCAAAATTGTAGCTATATTGTTGTCCTTTTATATGGCATATTTCTGGGTAGGCTGATTCCCAAATATGTTTCAGTTTATTGTTATTATAAATTGAGTTTCATATTTATGATATATTCTTTATTTTTAGTGCTGGCAAATAAAAATTCAAATGATTTTCCTGGGTTGATCTTGAATTCTGTGCCATTGCTGAGTTTGTGTATTGTTATCATTAATTTTCTGATTGAGACAGTTGGACTTTTCGCGTAGACCAATGTTACCTGAAAATAATGATATTTTGAGTAATTCCTTTCCAAAATTTTCTTCTTGTCTTATTGAAATGACTAGAATTTCCAAAACCATGTCAAATAAAAGTGATAAAAGTGGACGTCCTTGCTTTGTACCTTTTTTTGGTAGGAATACTTCTGTTTTTTCGTTGTTATGTTGTGTCGACTCTTGGCTTAAGGTAGATACTTTTATTATGTTGAGGAAAAATCCCTCCATTTCTACATGTTTTATTATTTTTATGAGCAAATATTACTAATATGATTGTAAAACTTTAAAGAATAGTTTTGTTTATATGTTGCATTATGTGATAGTTTTTCTGATGATGAACCAGATTTACATACCTTGTATAAACCCTGTTTTGTCATGTTGTATAATTTTAAAAATATATTGCTATATTGATGTTAATATTTTATTTGGCATTTCTGTACCTATATTCATTAGGGAAATTGGGCTATAATTTTTATTTTATATTGTTCTTTTTACCAGGTTTTTAAGTCAACTCTGTATTTCCTTCATAAACAGGATTGGGTAGTATCCCAGCATTCTCTGCATTTGTAAATAATGTAATGTATGTAATGTAGGGATAATTTGTTCTTGGAAAGTTTGAAAGAATTGACCTATGAATCATCTTGGCAATGTATTGTTTGTAGTATAATTCTTTGATGGCATCTTATTTCTTTCTCCGTCCTATTTGATTTGGATGATTAATTTTCTATTTTGTCAATTTTCACAATTTATAATTTTGTAGATAATAATCTATTGCCTTTAAATTGTCTATTTTTTTATACTTTAGCTATGTGCTATGTTTCCTGAATTAATACTAGTCTTTTGGTTGTTTTTTTTTAATAGTCATGTTTAGAGTATGTGATTTTAGAGTACAGTTTTATTTTTGAATTTCCCCCTCAATAATGTGCACTTATTTACTCTGCCTTATACCTTTCTCCAGCTGAAAAGAAAAGGAAAACAAAACTCTTGCAACAAATATGCATAGTTAAGCACAACATATTGTTACATGGCCGTGTTAAAAAATATTTTTCTTTCTACATCTTGAGTTCTGTTTTCTGTCAGCAGGGAATTAGCATTCTTTATCACTGGCCCTCTGGACATGTAAAATATCTTTATGTATCTTCAAAATTTGTCTTAGTTTTTAGAAAGTCTGATATTGCTGTAATTTGTATTTTAGAAGTATAATTTCATTTTTCTTTTTCAATTATTAGGGAATTTTTTCTTTGTCTTTATAACTTTGTAGTTTAACAATTATATACCTTATGGAATTTTCGTTAGGATTTCTTCGAGCTGGGATCCTCTGTACTGTTTATACCATCAATGTTGCTTTATCTTCTCCCCTCTGGAAAGTTTTCTGTAATTAGATTTTGGAATGCAGTGGCTATTTTTAAATTTGGGTATCTATGAACTCAATTGACTGATTTCTTTTACTTCTTCTTTTTCTTTTGAAACTATTACTTGCTCCTGGTTTTTTTTTTTCATTTAGTTGCTTTTTCAACTCTATTATATTATAGGTATGTTAGTTTTGTTGTTTATTGATTAGAGTAAGGAAGAAAGCCCAAGTTTTTCTTCAGGTTTTGGACAAGCATAGAAAATAAGGGGGTCAGGAGATGTCCCTCTTATCAAGTCTGATATTTTGGAAAGAGATAGAGAGAATACTCTCTGTTCTAGTAAGGTATCAAGTGTCTTCCAGAGGCCTGGATCAATCTTGTTCTAGGACCCCACCTGGAAAAGGAACTGGAGATATTGGAGACTCTCTTTAGCTCAGGCTGAGTGTTGTGATTGGGAAATTAGAATGATGTCCTAGCTTCTGCTGGTGGTAGTGGTGGAGGTGGTGGTGGTGGTGGTGGTGGTGGTGGTGGTGGTGTGTGGGTGTGTGTGTGCCTTTTTGGAGCTTACATGTGAGTAGCAACCATTCTGAGTTCATGCTTGACTGACCCGGGTCAGTATGTGTTGCAGTGGAAGGGGTGAGGAAAGGCCTCAGCAATTCATGACTCACATCTCAAAAAGTCAGAGAGATGGTAAGTTACAAATGGCTCTGTTTGGCTATTTGGCACGTCAAAGGAGGTAGTGCACCAGTAACTGGAGATGTAAGCTTCTGTACAGGCTCAAGAACTCTAGGACAGCAAGACTCTACAGGCAGTGGTGGTAATAATATTTCTCCTCCAGTAGTAAAAAGAGCATTGGAACTGCAATCAGGAGTGGCCTGGATTTCAATCCAATCTCCGATACAACAGCTGAGTGACCTTGGGCAATTCACTCAACTCCTTTCAGTCTATTTCATCTTTAAAATGGGAATAGTCATACATACATTAATCTTACACAGTTGTCAACATCAACTGAGATAATGTATGTAAAGTGATTTAAGGCTGCTGCTACTCTACTGCCCTAGTAATTTTTGCAAATTTGTTTTTGCTTTCTTCTTCTTTTTTTTTTTTGATGGAATATAGAGAAGGTTGGGCAATATTTCTAATTCTTTGAGGTGATTTAGGCACAGCTGGCTCCTGTTCTACCATCTTACATGAAATCTCATCAAATATTTCTGAGATATTTCCAAGTAGATAATTTTGGGATAGTGACCAATTCACTGGAAAGAAGCCAGTAAGATAATGAGAATTTTAATGATAATGTCAACAAAATTGAACAACACTTTAAATTATATAAACAACTAATTAGCTTTAGAAGTATAATTATGCCAAAGAAACAAAAATGAACAAAGTACTAACCATCAACTTCTACCAGGGTGAAGGGGTCTGTATGCCACCCATCCTCTTTTTTAGCAGGCTGCACATCCAAGTGACCATAAAAACACACTGTGGGTTTCTTTGGATCATTACCAAGTTCAGCTAGAAGAATGGGAGGTATTGGAAGATTCTGCCCATCAGGTAGCTGCAGAAATACAAGTGAACACATTAAAACAAGTCTTGTCATATAGCTTGCCTTCTCAATGGGTGGGGGAGGGAGAGAATTTGGAATTAAAAAATTTTTTTTCTAAGCATTAAAATAAATAAATAAATGAAGCATAATTATAAAAAGAAGGAAGAAATAGTATTAGTCTTCCAGAGAAGCTAGAAATATAGGATTGGGAGTCTCATATAATTTGAATTATTGTATAGCCGATAATTATTTCTTTGTGTCTTGGTTTTTCCATTTATTTTATTTCATTTTAATATTAAGAATAGGTCTCTCTGTCCTACCCAGGCTAGAAGCACACCTGATAAAAATAAGAGTTTTGCCCCACTCCATTTCTGACCTGGGCCAGTTTATCCTTCTTCAGAAAATCCAGGGCTTCTCTCCTTCTCCCATCTTCTCTCTTCCTGGTCTTCCTGGTCACCATATTAATGCTGAACTTAGACAGACCCTGGTTGGAATAGCTCATTGAAGCTCAAAATTCTAAAGCTCAAGAGGTCTGCCACCCTATGGCAGCTGAGATTACAGGAATATACCATTATGTCTTGCTAGTTTTTCTGTCTCTAAAATGTATATTATATGACTGATCCTCTTCATGGAAAGTTATGGGAAAACTTTATTAAAAATAAAATGTTTTCCAGGAATCTGGAACAAAGTTTTTACAGCAAGTTTCTCTGATAAAATCCTCAAATATAGAGAACTGAGTCAAATTTATAAGAGTATGAGTCGTTCCCCAACTGATAAATAGTCAAAGGATATGAACAGGCAATCTTCAGAAGAAATCAAAGCTATCAATTGTTATCTGAAAAAATGTTCTAAATCACTATTGATTAGAGAAATGCAAATTAAAACAACTCGAGGTACCACCTAATATCTAATATCTATCAGATTAGTTAATACTATCTCACACCTATCAGATTAGTTAACACAACAGAAGAGGAAAGTAACAAATGCTGGAGGGGATGTGGAAAAGCAGGGACACTAATACACTGTTCATGGAATTGTGAACTGATCCAACCATTATGAAGAACAATTTGGAACTCTGCTCAAAGAGCTACAAAACTCCATATACCCTTTGACCCAGCAATACCACTACTAGATTTGTATCTCAAAGAGATAAAAGAAAATAAATAACGACCTATTCATACAAAAATATTTATAGCAGCTCTTTTTGTGGTGGCAAAGAATTGGAAATTGAGGCAATGTCTGTGAATTGGGGAATGGCTGAACAAATTGTGGTACATGATTATGATGGAATACTAGTGTGCTATAAGAAATGACAAAGGGGATGCTTTCAGAAAAACCTGGGAAGACTCATGAATTCATGCAAAGTGAATTGAGCAGAACCAGGAGAAGAGCTTACACAGTAACAGTAATATTGTAAGGATGATCAACTGTGAAAGGCTTAGCCACTGTGATGTATAATATAAAATAATCCAAGACAAATCCAAAGGACTATGATGAAAAATGCTATCCACCTCCAGAGAGAGATAGAATTGATGAACTCTGGGTTTTTTTTTTTGGTTGTGTTTTCTTTTGTAGTATGGCTAATGTGGGAATATGTTTTGCATGACTTCACATATATAATCAATATCAAATTGCTTGCCTTCTCAAGGAAGGGGGGAAGAGGCAGGAGAGAGAGAGAGAGAATTTGGAACTCAAAATTTTAAAATGGTTGTCAAAATGTTTACATGTAATTGGGAAATATTTAATGAAATAAATAAAAATATTTTTTAAAATTTAAATAAAAGTAAAGTGTTTTCAACATACAAACAAGTAATATGCTTTTTATTCATTCCCTTCAATTAGTCTTTGAAGGTCAACTGCTCTGAGATCAATAAGAATAACTAATAATATCTAACATATATAGTGCTTACTATATGCTAAGCATTTTACAATTATTATTTCATTTGAACTTCACAACAACTTTGGGAGATAGATGATATTATTGTCCAATTTTACAGATGAGGAAACTGAGGCAAAAGAGGTTAAGTGACTTAGCCAGGGTCACACAGCTGGAGTGTTGGAGACTGGATTTGAACTCACCTTACTTCCTGCAAGTCCAGTGCTCTATCTATTGCACTACCTACCTTCCAATGATCAATAAATGTCCAGAACCCTCTTGGTCAAACTGATCCCAAAACAAAGGTTGGAATTTAAGATTTAAGATTGCCGTTTATGATTGAAACTTTTAATTCTTCTAATGACATGAAAGGTTAAAATAGTGTCTAGAATCTAGAGTAATTTACATGCATAGAATCTAGAGTAATTTACATGCATTTTAGTTCAAACAGAAGAATGACTTGAAAAGTAAAGATTTCAGGGTAGGAATGAGACTGATAGTATAAAGAATGACTATATCTAAATTGACCTAAAGACTCTAACTAACCATCCCCATTTCTCTCATAAACTCTCATAATCCTTATGTGGCTGAGGCCATAGGCAATACATGTTAGACATATGTTAGACTTGTGTCATTGATGACTTATATAAATAAGAATGGGGACAAAAGATATTATCAATGACACAAAATCATAAAGGGACAAAAAGACTAGGAGATAAGATGGACAGCTTAAGTGCTACATTAGCATCCTCAAGATATGAAAAAACAAAACAAAACACAGAGGGAGGTCTTCAGAACATTACATGGCTCCTCCACAGAGGACTAAAGGAAAACCAAAAATCTGTTCTTGGTGTGACTCTAACAGATGATGTCCAATGAGAGATCTTAGGATGAAGCCTTGGGCCTTCTCCCCTTTGAGCCCATGTGGTCCCATGAAATGGATCTGAGTTGTTGGTCTTTGTATTTGCTCTTTACTGTTTTAGGTAAAGGGACTGGAACTGCTGATCTTATTAGTTTCAAAAGGTCAGGAGTCTGAACCAATGCTGGGTTTTGCCACTAGTTCAGCATCGATGCCCCAAAGATCAAAGAATAGCCTTTGGAATTGACCTTCAGGACCCAGCCCTGAAATAAGGACATATCCAGCAGTCACACCACACCTGCATATGAACTTGGTGGGACCAAAGCTATGTAGAAACTTTGTTAAGAGTAAGCACACTCTTCCCAGAGAGTGAAGTGGTATAGAGGAGAGTGTACCTCTGAAGGATTAGGGGTAAATGTTTGTAATTTTGTTTTTCTAACATCTTTAAAGTAAATATTACTTTGTAAAAGCTTTTCTTTTTTTGAATTTTTAAAATTTTTTGGTTAGGCAATGGGGTTAAGTGACTTGCCCAGGGTCACACAGCTAGTAAGTGTTAAGTGTCTGAGGCCGAATTGGAACTCAGGTCCTCCTGAATCCAGGGCTGGTGTTCTATCCACTGTGACACCTAGCTGCCCCTAAAAGCTTTAAAAAGAAAAAAAAGAATAGAGGGATTATGATATTCTCTGGTGGAGAGACCATGCATCCTCATGAAATCATCATTTTAGCTAAGTGTCACATTCAGGGTTAGGTAGAATTCAATTTAATTAATTTTATTTTTTTTTTTTATCAGTGGGTTTCTGTTTCCATTGGCTTTGTAGCTGGAAGAGTCTACATCTTTTTTTTTTAATTATTTAATTATTTAATTTTATTTTTCTAGCATTCTTTTTTATTTTGAGTTCCAAATTCTCTCCCTCCTTCTAGCTACTCCCTTACCCTTTTATAAAGCAAGCAATATGATACCCATTATATAAGTGAAGTCATACAAAACATATTTCCATATTAGCCATGTTGCAAAAAAAAAAGGGAAGAAAAATAAAGTGGAAAAAATATACTTCAATCTGTACTCAGAGTTCATCTGTTTTGTCTTTGGAGATGGATAGCATTTTTCATCATGAGTCCTTTGGAATTGTCATGGATCACTGCATTGATCAGAGTAGCTAAGTCTTTCACAGTTGATTATACTTATAATGTTGTTACTATATATAATGGTTTTTGGTTCTGCTCACTTCATTTTGCATCCATTCATATAAGTCTTCCTAGGTTTTTCTGACACCATCCCCTTTGTCATTTTTTATAGTACAATAGTATTCCATCAATAATCAAATACCACAACTTGTTCATCCCTTCCCCAATTGATGGGCATCCCTTCAATTTCCAATTCTTTGCCACCATAAAATGAGCTGCTATAAATACTTTAGAACAAATAGGTCCTTTTCCTCTTTCTTTTTTTTTTTCTTTGATGTCTTTGGGATACAGGCTGAGTAGTGGCATTGCTGGGTAAAAGTGTAAGTACAGTTTTACAATCCTTTGAATGTAGTTCCAAATTGTTCTCCAGAATGGTTGGATTAGTTCACAACTCCATGAGCAACAATGCATTAGTGCCCCTGTTTTCCACATCCCCTCCAGCATTTGTCATTTGCCTTTTCTTTTGTGTTAGTTAATATGATAGGTGTGAGATGGTATTAGTCAGGATAATAGGATAAAGTAAACTGGAATAGGACAAATATATTGAAGGAAAAAATACTAAATACTAAATACTAAAAAGGCACATCACTACCTCCATTAGAAATTAGATAATCAACTGCAGGACAGAGAATTTCAATGGTTAATGGAAGTAAGATAAGACACATTACCTCTTGATGTCCCATGTCTATTGAATCTACAGCGGCTCCTAAGTGTCGAAGCTTGTCTGCAGCTATATCCATCATTTTGAAGATTTCTTGTCTGAAGTGAGGCAGGGGTTGAACAGAATCACTCTCAATGGCCACCCACTCCTTAAGTGACTATAAGGAAGTCAGTGATCTAGTTAGTGTAGAGAAAGGGGAAGGGGAAAGGGCAGCAATACCTAAAGAAATCTGCTCCTCAAGTATTCAGGAATATTTCAAATTTGAACTTACCAAATTACCTTCTTTTCCCTTTGTCTAAATGCAAGCAAACTATAATCACATGATAGGAAGATAAGAGAGGAACTAGCAAACTATTAGTTATTCTTGGGGTTATCCAATGAGACTATTGGCCAAAGGAAAAAAGGTGCTTAAAAGTTATTTCTGTGAGATGTACAGTTTTTATTAAGATCTTCAGGAATATGGGAGCTTTCTAATAAGGATTTGTCCTTTTATTTCATGAGATCAAAATGTCAAGGGACCACCATCACCTTCCTTTTTGTTAACATTATCAGGAATTAATCAGTTCTACATGGCCTCTGGAGTCATTACAGATTGGCCAGGGAAGAGTGAATCTTTGTTTCTTGTTTAGAGTTTTTAAGGATTTTCATGAGACCAGCTAGCCTTCCCTCTTTTGGCTTTTCCTGGCAAATGCTCATGCTGTGGCCTTATCTTTTTTCTCATCTTAATTGTATTTGGCTACAGCTGGCCCTTATGCTCCCTTGGGACATCATGGAATGTAGTACACTAGATTTGTTTAAAACAATAAGGACCCTAAAGGGATTTTTAGGCATTTTGTTTTTATTGATTTCATTGGTGTAGGAAACTTTCTAGTGTGGAAACTCCACATACACTAATATAGAGATAGTTTGTCATTTAGAATTTTAGAGAGGTGCCAAGTATACTAGGAGGTTAAGTGACTTATCCAATGGTCCCATGATCAATATCTGTTGAAGGCAGGACTTGAACCCAGATGTGTCTGTTTCCAAGGATAGCCCTACAACCACTAGGCCAGGCTACCTTTCTTTCAGTTACACATCCAGTTGTTTTGCATTGAAACTTCAATGATTCTGAATTTCTGATTTGGTATGAAATGGCCTATTAAACCTCTGGTCTTCTGCACTTTTTAACTGATATTTATGCTATGGTATTTTTTTTTCTAAATCTACATTTTTATTTAAAAGATTTTCTTAGGGGGGAAAAAAGATTGGTTTGGACTCTTGGCCTTAATATTCTACATCTTACATTCCATTCATGATCTTTCTAGATAAAATTGCTCGTGCTTTTACTGACCCACTTCTAATAGAGAGTGCAATTGCTCACTGGTGGAACAAATTCTGTTTTATACATATACTTTCTTTGACCAGAAATTCAAAGGTAGACTTTTATCCTGAATTTTTTGTGGCCTTTCTGATTTCCCTGTTTATTAACATTATTGCTGTTATCAGGTTGTTATAAGGCTGGGTGTATTTTCAACAGTAGAGAAAAATATATTTGGACTTCAAAATCCAACTTGGGACACTTTTCTGTTAATGCAATTCTATTCAGTAAATCTCCATTAAAATTTCTAACAAACAGGTCTTGCTACCAATTCAACTATCCAATGTGAAAAGAAAAATTAAGATAAGTCACTTGATTGGACTTCTAAGTCACACATTCATATTTGTGACTTAAGAGTAAAAAACGAGGTGGCTCTGTTTTACAGATAAACAGCAGTCCAGTGTCAAATACAAAAATAGTGGACTAAAAACCAGGGAGACCTGAGTTCTAGTCCTCCCTCAGACAGTTACTAGCTATGTGTTAGGTGTCCTGAGATTTTGTTTCCTCATCTGGATGGGATCCCAGATTTAGAGCTAGAAGGGACTTCAGAGACCATCTACTGTAACCCTCTTGTTTTACAGACAGAGAAATTTAGGCCCAGAGAGGAGAAATAACTTGCCTAAGGTCACAAGGATGACAGAGCCATGTTTTGAACCCAGGTCCTCTGATTCCAAATGTGTTCTTTCCAATGACACACTGCCTTTCAGAGAAAGGTGGTAAGGTATCACTGACTATGCCCCCTCTTCACATGAGGGGTAAATTCTTAAATTATGCATAAACATTTATTCCTACCTGAATAAATTCATTTTGATGAAGATCAATGTACTGGAAGATATTCTCTAGCATTCTGGAGGAGGGAGGGGAGGAAGAGGAGAACAAGCCGCCTTCAAGAAGTAGAAGCACTGTGAAGATGGAGGAGGCCTGCAAATTCAAGGTGAAAAGGTCAGTTCAAAATAAAGTCAAGAACATTTACTCTTAATCTCTCACATAATTAAAGATCTTTCTTCTCCTAGCTAAAGAAACAATTGGGCTAAAATGCAAAGTCACTGAATTAGGAATGTACTTTCATTCGTTCACAAGAAGATTTTTTTTTAGCCAAAGCAATTCATGAAGACTGTACATGGAGGAGCAGTGGGGACTGCAATGTATTTGAGTGGTATGAGTATCTACCCTGATGACAAGATCATGGTTCTAAAGGTGTAAGGGATGATGGTGATGATGGTGATAACAATAATATTATTATGACAATAAATAATTAGCATTTATATAGCACCTATTACGTGCCAGGCACTGTGCTATAACACCCATTTTACAATCCAAGAAACTGCGGCAGAGATTAGGTGCCTTGCCCAAAGTCACAGAGTTAATAAGTAAGTGTCTGAGGTCACATTTAAATGCAGATTTCCCTGCCTGCAGGCCTGGCCCTCAATCCACTGCACCACCTAGCTACCTTCAGAGGCTGTGGAATTCAACGCCTCTGGGAGGTTAAGTGATTTGCTCCAGGACACACAGATAAGCATCTGAAATTAAGGTCTGGACCAGGATCCTCAGATTGTAAAAGGGTTCTTTACCTATATAGGAGGATTCATTCAATCAATATTTATTAAGCACCTTTTAAATTCGAAGGTGGGAAGGAGGGGCAGTGAGCACTGAAAAGCAAGCTGCAGTCCTCCTGAAGTTTTCATTCTCTTCTTACATTCTTCCTTAAGCATAGCATTTAGAATGCTCCGGTATGAAATTATGACTAGAGTTATCAAACTTGTGATGAGCAGGTAAGGCAAAATCCAAAGGACAATCTCATAGGGAGGCCCACTTTATCCTTTTTCTGAAGGTCCACACACCACACACACACACACACACACACACACACACACACACACACACACATACAGTAAGCTGATGTTATTAATTACGTGTTTTAGAATCATAAGCTCATAGAAACTTGGAGTTGGCAGGAAGGAAGGAAGGAAAGAAAGAAAGTATACAGTATGTTTGTGAGTCAGAAACAGAACCCAGTTTTCTTGAGCCTACTTCCTACATCCATCTATCCATCTATCTATCCATCCAGCTATCTATCTGTTTATCTTTCTATCCATTAATTTGTCTCTATATGTTTTTCTTTATTTGTTTATTTATTTAAGTCTAGGCCTATGAAGGAAACTCCCTTTAAAGAAAATACCTCCATTAATACAAATGGAAAATTTCTGCACCTTATTGTCTAAGAGAGTTACCAGGGGGCATTAAGAAGATAAGGGGTTTATCCAGGGTCACACACAGCTGGTGTGTGTCAGGGACAGTACTTAAACCTGTGATGTCCTGACTCCAAAGCCAGCCCCTCTATTCATTAGGCAATACACCCTCTTTTGCCAAGCTGATTGAATATACTATCATAATGATGATGTTCTCTACGATCTGTCATTAGGTCATATTTTCCGAGTTATTTTTCCTGCACTAATGAAGTCTTTGACTTGACTCTGATACATTTTTGCCTAGTCCCTTTTTGACCTGTGGGACACCTTTTCAAAATGGTTGGCTATCAAAGAGGCAATGTCTTTGACCACAGAACCAAGCGCAGCTACTGCTCTGATCAAAGACTGAATCGGTCACAGCAAAATGCTCCACAGACCACCAGGCTCTAACCTTTTCCTTATCTATGCATGTTTTCTCCACCATTGCCTATCACAGTGCTCGGCACACCATAGTCACTTAATAAGTGCTTATTGCTGTTGATGATAAACTCTTTTTAACATTTGTATTTTGTAAATTACTCATGATTTTATTTCAACTTTACAAATGGGACATAGAGCTTTAGAGCTTGAAAGAGCCTTAGAGATCACTAGTCTGAATCACTCATTTTACAGAGGAGGAACTGAGGCCTGGACAGGGTAAGTGAGTTGCTTAAGGTTACACAACTGGTAACTGGGGGTAGGTCTGACACCAAGGTCCATACTGTTTACATCTTTCTTTACAGTATTGAGGGGCTTTCAAAGATTAGACTTTGAGCAGTTAATGAATTTCCTTCTGCTTGTTCTCACTCCTCCCAAAGACATCATATGTAAAATGTCTGTGGTGAATATAGCATCGATTTAGTTTATTCACTAGTGTTAAAGATGTTGAAGAAATTTATTCTCATTATTCCAAAAGTCTTACAGCACACTGGTTAAAAAGCTCTGCCCTTATCAACTGAGCTAAAGAAGCATATGGCTAGATCATTTCTATGAGCAAAACAGAAAAAGGGTAATTACCATGGTAAGAAAGGGTTATGTGACTAGACACTTTGGTTTAATTTTCAGATATTTCAAATGAGTTTACACTTACATGCAGTTGGGTATGCAACTGCCACTTCTGTTTCATTTGCAATTTCAGGGCCAATGATGTGTTCTAAATGTGTCCTAAGATATTTTCACACACATTAGATTGTAATGTTGGAAACCCACCTCTTAAGGATTGATATTAATGGAGAGAATTGCAGGCACTAAGGCAAACTGGGGTGGTGGGGAGGGCAGTGAGGATGGGTACAATGATCAGGGTCAGGGAAGCCTGATAGACCCCATAAATCACAAAAATTTAAGCAAGTAATGGCCTTATTCATGTGCAGAGCTGGAGCTAAACAGAATTTTATGTCTGAGTTCATGGCCTGACTGATGTGACTGAATCAATGGGAAAGAGGAAACCTGACCCATGACCACACCAACAAATCAGTGTAAGGAGCTGGGGTAAAAGGACCCAGAATACATTTAGTCATGAAAGGTAAAAGCTTTAGGGAGACAGATGGGCCAAACAGTTTCCTGATACTCTGTCTTGCCTCCTCAGCAGACACTGATTTTCTGGTATGAATGCAGAAGACACTGCATCCCTAGCAACCTTCTCCAGAGCTATGTACTACTCTCTGACCAGAAGGAATAGCAGACATATTCTTTGCTTCTTACTCTCACTTCCAGGTTATCCCTTTACCATTATTGCTCGGTATCCTTTCCTCCATCGAGGGTCAGTCATAGTCTTTATCATCCAGACCTAATTGCTCTTGCATTTCTACCTCTCCAATGCAGTTTCCACAAAACTGCCAAAATGATGTCCCTAAAACAATGGTTTTAGGAATGGTTCCCAACATGGGACATACAAGATCATCCACTGGGGTGCAGCAAGGAAATATTAGAACTATCTAAAAAAAAAAAAGAAATTAAACTTTACTAAGATTTAACATACAGATTGACTGTCATCTTCACTCAGTTGAGACACTATTCATCTGTACTTTCATCCAAATGTAAAAAGAAACATGCCTCTCCCATGTAATTTGTTATTAATACTTGTTTCTTTAAATCTTCAGCAGCCTTTTTACGCATCTTGCAACAATATTTGCTAACAATGGAATGCATTTTAGGTTTGTTTCCCACATTGTTTTCCCTTGAATTATTTCAACAATTTTTAGGAAGAACAAATGCTTCCCTAATAATATGTAGGGGTTTTTTTGTCTTTCTCTATCAAGTAAGAAAATGATTCCAAACATTTTTCACTGTTTAGAGAAATTTTGTTAAGTACTGGATCGAGTGTGGTTGTCATTGTTGTCACCTTGTGATATTCCTGACAAAGAGCTAGGAATCCTGGGAGTGGAAGGGGGCAACTCTGCCCCCTTTTTTCCCCTATCCAATTGTGCTCATATCATTAATATTTTCAATTCCATCTTCCTTGCTAGTATGTTTTTAAACCACTCATCCACTTTGTAAGGGCAGCTTAGGTAAAACTAGATGATATAATCCATAAATTCACTTACCTAAGCACATAAAAAAGTCCAGTTTTTGAATGTTGAAAGAGAAGAAATGGAATGTGAGAGCTCCATTGTCAATAATTACGATGTGGTACTTTCAAAAGCAAAAAATTCTACTTTCCTATCCCTGGAAAATGATGCCCAGGGGTGGTTATCACAACCTGAAATAACTGCCTCATTTCTGTGTTATTGCTCTGGATAGAAAAGGCAGATTAGTGTAGTGGAAAGAATATTTGATTGGGAATGAGGACAGCTAGTGTTTAAATCCTCTCTGCCACTTTTGTCTGTGTGATCATCATCAATAATAATAGCTGACATTTTATTATATGGTGATTTAAATATATTATCTTGGTTGATCCTCACAATAACTACTTGAGGTAGACACCAAATTCAGTGCTCTTACCACTACTATTGCCAAAGTAATCCAAATATTAATAGTTACAGACAACTCAACATGTATTTATTAAGCATCCACTTACTCTGTTCCAGGCATTGGACAAAGCCCTCAGGATACCAAAAAAAAAAGCAAAAACAGTCCATTCTCTCAAAGACTTCCCAGTCTAATGAGAGAGACAACATGCAAACAGTTAGGTACAAATGACACATACAGTATAAACTGGAGACAATCTCAATGGAAAGGAATCAGCATTCAGAAGGATCAAGGAAGACTTCTTGTAGAGGATGAAACTTTAGTTGAGTCTTGAAGGAAGTCGAGGAAGCCAGAAGGCAGAAATGAGGAGGGAAATAGTTCCAGGTATTGTGGAGAGCCAATGAAAATGCAGGGGAGTTGAGAGACAGAGTGTTTTGTGAAGGAGCAACAAGAAGACCAATGTTACTAGACTACAGAGTTTGTGGAGGGAAGTAGTGTTAAAGAAGATTGGGAAAGTAGGAGGGGGCTAAGTTATGAATGGTTTTAAAAGTCAAACAAAATATTTTATTATTTTATCCTGGAAGTAATAGGGAGGCAGAGAGCTGATACGGTCAAACCTGAGCTAGAGTGAGGAGAGATTTGAGGCAAAGGAGACCAACCAGAAAGCTATTGCAATAGTCTAGATGTGAGGTGATGAGAGTCTTCATCAGGCTTGAGACAGAGTAAGAGGAGAGAAGGAAGTATATACAAGTGATGAGAGACATTATGAAGGTAGAATCAACAACA